CAGAGAAAATAAGCCTGTTTGTGTTTGGATCAGTGTACTATGTAAACTCAAATCTTCTATTTTGCCTATTTCATATGTAGGTGTACATATATATTTTATATACATATGTACATTTTAAAAATTCTTATTATAACTAAATAATATTTTACTATTCGGAGAATGTTATAACTTCATAAGTTGCAATGCACGTTGAAAAATAATACCCTGTGGACACCGTTTGCAGTTAGGAAGCAGAAACCTTTAATCCCTATATATCTGTTCATTCAGTTATCTTCTAGTTCAATCCGTTATTTCCTTTATGCCAGAATATTCCAAAGTTTAATGAAAACAAGCTAATTTTAAACTGAACTAAGATAGCTACAACAAAAGGTAGCAAAATGAGATTTAATGTAGTTTTAATGTATTGTAGTTATTTTAAACTAACTAGAAGTAAGAAACAGAAAAACCATTTAAGTTTCATTCAGTTCAGCATGTCTTTTATTTTTAAACATCATCATCTGGATGTGGACAGTGTTGGTCCTAAATACTTATTTTTATTTTTTGGCTATGTGACATGAATCTTAGTTCCTCCACCAGGGATCAAACTTGTGCCCCTTGCGTTGGAAGCACAGAGTCTTAACCACTGGACCACCAGGGAATTTGCAAGCACATGTCTTCTATGAAGACATAGAAATTGTGGCTTCTGCCCATGAGGAGCTTGCAAGATAATGGAAGAGACAGGCAGATACCTAAAGAAATTAGTTTTACTTACTATGGCAGGTGCTGTGATAGGAGGATGCCAGAATGCTATGAAGATATAAGTAGGATACAAGATACAGTCTGGCCAAAAGGCATCAGTAAGGCTTGTAAGATCTGGCTACTTCTTTCCATCTCTGCTGCTATCCCTGTGGTCCACATCACCAGTATTGCCTACCTGGGTGTTCCCAGTTGCTTCTTAACTGGTCTGCTTGCTTCTACTCCAGCCTCCATACATGGAGCCAAGACTAGTTTTTCTGTTTGCTTTTGTATTTGTGTGTATGTTTTATATAATTCATATCTTGTTTCACCCTAACTAAAACCCAGTTAAATAAATAAATAAATAAAACCGCTAATTATACACAGTGGTTTCCCATTGATTGGAGAGTAAAATCCAGGCTCCTTTCCATGGCAAACAAATCCATGGCAGATCTGGCTCCTGCCTTCTTCTACAATTTCATTTCATATGACTCTGTACACAGTTACTTTCCCCAGCTACTCTGACCTTATTTCTGTGCCTCAACCATAACAAGCCTGTTCCTCTGCCTTCAGGCTTTGCACTCAATATTTATTCTGCCAGGAAAAGTCTTTCTGAGCCTTCAGCTGGCCTGTGCCAATCACAGCTCAAGTTTCACCTCCTAGAAACACCTTCATTGTCCAGCTTCTCTGCTTCCCAGGGACTCTCTCCCCTTAGCCTCTCTTAATCTTTTGTCATTATCTGAATGTATCTGTTATTTATTTACTGTTCATCTACCTACTCCAGAATGTTGGCTCCATGCAAGCTGAAACTCTTGTCTTTTCTCCACTCTCAAGTCCTTGGCACCTGGCAACTGCTAAGTTCTTATTTAATGAGTAAATGACAGAATAAAAAGTGTCTGAGCTGAGTTGGGATACATGAGTAAGACTTAGGCAGTCCAAGAACAGTGGAAAGGTAAGAGAATAGCATGAACAAAGACACAGAAGCATGAAGTGGTATGGGATGTGTGGGGGAACCAGGAGCAGCTCAGTGTTACTAGGCAGTAGTGTCAGTAGTGGTGGATGTAGCTGGTGATGAACACAGGAATTACCAGTCACAGAAGCCACTGAATGCCATGACCTTGGCCTTTATGATTTAGAGAGAGCTGAACTGTCAGATTTCAATTTAGGTCAGTGTTTCTTGACATTTTAAACTGAGACCCAGAGAATACATGTTATATTTTCTGCAAACTGAGATTCGTCTCTAGATTTCTGAGGCCACCATGTTTTTTGGCCCTTTCTCCATCTTCAAAGGCAGCAGCCACAGTCCTCACATCACGGCTCTCTGACCAATTCTTCGCCCCCCTTATCCACTTTTTTTTTTAATTGTCAAACCAAAGGTCAAGTTTAAATTTAATGACTTTGGTATTAACTATACACATACTAGTAAGTGCTAAGACTTAAAATCTTCCAGTTCAGTTGTGACTCCAGACAGGATCCAGAGAGGAGTTTTAAAAATCTCTTCTCTGGGTTTTATGGAGACTTTCTTTACCCTCCTGTGTTAGCCTCTTAAGGCACTGTGTCAGCCTCAAAAGGGCCCTGGAAAGGGCGACCCCTCATCCACTTTTAAGGACTCATACTATTAGGTTGGGCCCTTTTGGGTGGCTCAGATAGTAAAGAATCTGCCTGCAGTGTAGCAGATCCAGCTTCAGTCCTTGGGTCAGGAAGATCCCCTGGAGAAAGGAATGGCAACCCACTCCAGTACTCTTGCCTGGAGAATCCCATGGACAGAGGAGCCTGGCGGTCTGCAGTCCATAGGGTCACAGAGAGTTGGACATGACTAAGAGACAAGCAGATTTTCACTTGGGTATCCAGGGTAATTACCGTACCTCAGGGTCCCTAACTTTAATCACATCTCCAAAGTCCCTTTGTCATGTAACACAATGTACTTATTCACAGGTTCTGTGGATTGCATAGACATCTTTGGTGAACCACTATGCTGCAGGGCCCACAGGGATATTTATAGGGGATTTTCTATAACTCATATTCCTTTCCCCTTCCTCCCTCCTTCCCTTCTTTCTTTCAATGCTTATAAGGCCTTTCTTTTCCAAGGCCAAGTGCTCACATACAGCAGCGAGCAAGACAGTCAGTGTTCCAGCTCTCATGGTGACTTAAATTCTAACAGAAAGGTAGATGACTGATACACAATCAACACAGGAGATTGTTTGATGATGTAAATAAAGTGATGCATAGAAAGGAACTGGGCAAGACCACTTTGGTTGAGTGGTCAGGGAGGGGCTCTCTTGAGGAAGTGACACATGATCTGAGATCTGAAGGATGTAAGTCAGTCAGCCACTAAGAGCCAGGGGAAGAGGATTCTAGCAGAGGAAATGAAAAGTGCGAAGTCCCCGGAGCAGCAGAGGACACGTCTTGTTCAAGGAACAGTCTGAAGGCCGATGTGAATGAAGCAGAGCAGCAAGGTTAAAAAGCAGAGCAAATGATGGAGGCAAGACAGGCGATGTGAAGCCAGCCAGTGGCTGAGATAGTCATGTGTGGTAAGGACTTGGGAGTTTTTTCTAACAGCAAGGGGAATCCACTGATGGGTTTTAAATAGAGGTGGTACAAAGCAGGGAACATAATCCAATTTATGTTTTTAAAAGGTAGCCAGCTATGTGAAAATGACTTAGAAAGGGGCAGGGATGGACTAGAGAGACACATTAAAGAGCTATGGCAGTCATCTGGGGGAGAGATGACAACTGAGGTTTGGACTGGGGTGAGGACGGTGAAAGGACTGATCTGTGATGTATTCGGGAGGTAAAATTGACAGGACTTAGTGGTGATTTGGCTGTGGGGTATGAGAGGGTGGAATGAAGGATGACAGCTAGGTGTTTTAGCAATTCACGGGATAAAAATTTTATTCCCTGGAGGTAGAAAGGGCTGGAGGAAGAACCAGTTTGGAGAAAGGAGACCAAAGTTTGATTTGAACATGTTAATATGGAGCAGCCACATCCGAGAACTGATGTCAAGGAGACAGACATAGGAGACTGGCACTCGTTGCAGTGTCTGAGTTGAAGATAAGCATCTGAGAGTCTAGCATACAGATGGTGTCGAGAGCCAAGAGACCAGATGAAACCCCTCAGGAGAGAGTAGAAATAGAGAAAAAAACAAAAAATGTCTTGAGTGCTGAGGTCCTCCAAGACTTTCAAGTCAGGAGGAAAAGGATGAGCCACCAGAAAATGCTGTTGAAAAGATGCTAATAGTATTTGGAGGCTTCCTTGAGTAATGGCCAAGTTAGAAGAACAGGAGTCAAATAAACTAGGGGACGCTCTCCGGGAAGCCCGCTAGAGCAGGACTGTGATACTTCTAGCACTGAACACCGTGCCTGGCACATGAAAGGCAACCATCACTGTTGAATGAATAAGTGAACTTTTCTGAGGCTTTCCAGTGGCATTCTGGCACATTTCTGAACATGGGACTAAGAGGTGGACATTTGCATTGGCTCATTGCCAATGGCCCAACATCACACAGCTTTTAAGCCTGCTTCATGAATTTCTGGCCCACTTTTGATAAAATTTAGAGAATTTGCTAGAGCCTTTCCTTAGGTTTATCTTTGGAAACAAACAGAAATCACCAACTTGCATTTTCCAAATCATTTAAAATAAAATTCTCAGTAAAATAAATAAGTAATGAATAAACAAGCAAACAAGTAAAATTGAACTTATGGAAAACCGAAACAACCCCCTTAGAATCCTTGGAATTCTTTTTTTACTGCCAAGGAAATCAGTCTTTTACTGAGTTCTGGGGTGTGTGGGGTAGTAGGGGTTATGAGCCACGTTTTAATCTCCTGTCACTTCCAGGAGCACATGACTAAATCAGAAATTCTCACTACTCTTGGAATTTTAACACTAGTTCATTTGACTATGATGACACAGACTTGTTTGGAAGGAAAGAAGCTTTGTGTGAGACTGAATCTCAGAAGATTAAGTCCATAGGCTTAAGATTTTTGCCCATAGGCTCAAAGTATTTAAACCCAGTTCTAAAGGACTCCAAACGTCAGATCTCTTCATCAGATCTCTTTGCTGACCCCAAGAAACTTAAATGACATAGGGGTTAGAAGTGGCTAAGATTTTTAGTTTATTGGTTTTAAACATCATTTTTTTAAAAAGTCTCTTAACAACACAGAGAAAATTAAAGGAGCACTTTAAGCCCTCTGAATTGTTTTGATTGTGGTGTTTTCTGAATGTATTTAACATGAATGAATTTGTCTTCTTTCACAAGGAAACATACAGAGGTGTATTCCAGAATTGACTGTTCATGGCACATACAGTTAGCGCGTGCTCGCTGACACTTATTTTTATCATCATGTTGCTGTTGGTTAAGGCAAAAATAGGTAAGATATTTCTGTAATCTAATCTGTGGAGAATTTTTGGTTTAAATTCTCAGTTATAGATGAAATAAGCATTTGCGGTAAATGTTCTGATGGTCTTTTTCAGGCAATCTGTCAAGTTTAAGTGGATAAGTTTGGTTCTAAGTATGTTACTAATATGTATTTTATTTTATTATATTAATGATTGAAACTCCAGTGATATCTTTTGTTCTTAAGAAAGCGACTAGGTAACCAGGTTAGGAATCATGAATGGATGTTTTATGTTATAGTGAATTTTAACAGAAGTGAATTTTAACAGCGTATTCATGGATGGATTCAGCTCTGCTAAAAAAAGAAAATAATGGCTGTCATTTTCTTTGCTTTTTTTATTGGCAACTTATTTTGTACTTTTTAACCCATTAGGATCAAAGAAACAAAAAACAAACATAAAAGTAAGAGAGAGGAAGAGACTTATTGCTGAAAATAAAAATGGAAACTTTTCATTTAAAATAAATATTTAATATTTCCTTTATTTGACTTAAGTAACTTTTTACCAATTTGTTTATGGTAGTTGATCCAAGCAATTTTACAATTAACGAAAGACTTTCAGTGGAGGCTTTATATCATATCTAAAAATTCAGGGTGAATCTATAAGGGTTTTTTCTTCATCAGCAGTTACTGAGTACCACTAAAAACTGCTAATTCGCGATTAGCTGTTGTATTTATACATACAGAACCACCTGGAGAGTAAGAATGACCTCTCTTTAAGAGTTTATTGTGGGACCTGGCATAAGGAAAATAATATAGAGAACTCTTTTTAAAAGAAAGATACTTTTGTGTGCTTTAGTATTAGCTGTATTGAGAGTGGTTCATCCTACCTAGGGTCTTACATCTTGGAGGAATACCATGGTAAGACCTAATTTCCACCCCTGATTCCAACTACAAACATACCAGAGCCCCTAAATATTTTCTCTTTATTATAAAATAATGCTATGGATTACACATACTTTATACCCCTAATATAGCAAGAGGGGATTATTCCCAGATGTGCTGTTTAACGTTTGTAGTAGCCTTTTAAGTGTTTGTGATAGCTTTTTAATCATTTTGGTATGAGTATTTAAGTAAGTGTTATAAATCATAAATGGGTAGGGAAGCAAATGTGATTTATTCTGGGAAGTACTTTTTAGTAGTTTGGTGAATAATTTGCGTGTAAGAGAGATTGGCTTTTCCTAGAACTGTGTTCCTGAATGTTCTTCCAACCCTATTTTCTCACCACTTTCCTATTTATAGTTCTGATTATAGTATTACTATTTTGAAAAGGATGTATACTTTAGTTCAAGTACAGTTAGACTTTAAGACAGTTACCTTCTGTCCTCACTGTGCTTCACCAATAGAGCCAGAGCAACGTGGCTTATGTGTATTTCCATGATTTGATGGGGTTTGTTTTATCCAGTTTTGGGAAATTTACACAGACCCTCCAACTGAAATAGGTTTCTTATGTGCCGACTCATCTTTTGCATTTGTATCTTACTGCAGATGTGTGCAAGAGAGGGGATGTGACTGTGCAGCCTTCCCATGTCATTTCATTAGGATCCGCTGTCAACATTTCCTGCTCTGTGAAGCCCAAACAAGGCTGCTTGCCATCTTCCAGTTCTAGCAAGTTAATCCTCTACAAGTTCGACAGAAGAATTTATTTTGACCATGGTCACTCCCTCAGTTCTCAAGTCACAGGTCTTCCCCTGGGCACAACCCTGTTTGTCTGCAAGCTGGCCTGCAGCAGCAGTGACGAGATTCGAATATGTGGGGCAGAGATCTCCGTTGGTGGTGAGCATTCCATTCTGAGTTCCTAAAGGCTGGTGATCTTCTGGTATTTGACATGTATTAAGCAGAAATCCAAGTAGAGGACAGTGTTCTTTCTTCTCCCACTTCAAGGATATATTTAATCTTCCTAGTAACATGAGCACCTCAATGTGTTAAGTCCAGAAATCAATAGAACCGAGATCTCATTTAGTAAATCTCCTCTTTCCTCTCCTCTCCTCACCTTTCCTCCCCTCCCCTCTCCTTTTCATCCTTCCCCTCGCCTCTCTCTCTCTCTTTCTCTCCTCTTTTTGGCCATTAAGACCATTCACCTGTTGCCCTTGGACTCCAAAATCAGAAAAAGGGCTTTCTGCATCTGAATCTACGTGCATTTTTGACTTACAAGAGTTTGTTCAAAGCCACAGCCTCCTAAAAAGAAGAGGTATCTCTTTTGACTTGTGCAGTCCAGGCTGATAACCAAGGCTGAACACTTCTCCCCTCTCTGACTTAATGTAAAAAAAAAAAATAGTTCTTCCATCCACTTCACTGCTGACCACTGATTATTATACTGAGCAGATGTTAAGAGAGAACTATCATCATAGTTAATATCTTTCCCTGGGTTTTCTAGAAACCTGCCTGAGACAAACCTGATGTGCTAAGACTTCAGAGTGGGAGAGGAGTTGTCCGGTTCCAGGGAAGCAAGAGTGAGGGAGTGAACCAGGAAAAAAGTGGAGCAAGCATGAGGTGGTTAAGTTACTGACCTGGCCACGGCATCACCAGAAGATAAAGCTGGTTGCTTGGTCACTAGGGACATCCCCAGAAAGAACATATGGCAAGAGAGTGACAGGTGAAAGAGAGAACTGTCTGGTGTAGGTCAAAGTTCACCCACAGAGCACCAACTCCCCCGCACTGCTAGCTTGCACTATGGGTCTCTCCACGCCGCCGCCAGGGGTAAGAACTAAGATGTCAGAGTTGGCGTCTGCAACCTGAGCCACAGTGCACAGGGTGAGCCTGCAGCACACCTTCCTGCCACTTGTAGTCTGCAGCCTTGAAGGCCCAGCCCTGCAAGCCAGTGAGCACGCAAAGGCCCTGAGCCATCCCAGGGCACGCTCTGCCTCTGTGGTTCCCTCTGTGGTTCCCGGGAAGCTCCAAACTGGCAGGTGAGAGGTGTGTGGAGAGCAGGAGGAATTGCTGCTGCAGGCTGGCTGGCTAAGATGCACGGACAGGGTCCCTGTCATAACGAGAGTGGTACAGAGCTCAGTGCGACTCTTATCAGGAAAGACAGAAGCCTCTTCTCTGTGACCTGTAACAGCAGCCCCCAACCTTTTTTGGCACCAGGGGCCAGTTTCATGGAAGACAGTTTTTCCACAGACCATGGTAGGGGGGCTGGTTTCAGGATGATTCAAATGTTGCATTTACTATACTCTTTATTTCTATTATTATTGCATCAGCTCCACCTCAGAGCATCAGGCATTAGATCCTGGAGACTGAGGGTCCCTGATCTATAAGGACATGATTGGTGCCAGGCAGTAATTCCTGGAGGGCCACCACAAGCACTGAGCAGAACACCAAGCATATCTAAGCAAATCACTGGGGGTGTGGAGGCATAAACTAGGTCTCATACCCCTCTTCCAGCTCAGGGGCTCCTGTTCACAGCTCTGATGGGTCATGTACACTCAGTTCTGACAGCCTGTGATGTAGTAAAAGGAGCATGGGCTTTGAATCCAACCCAGCCACTAGCAGTGGACCCTTAGACAGTTTCAGTTCTCTCAGCCTCAGTTTCTCCATCTGTGTGATGAAGATACTAACACCTACCTCCTAAGATGGTTGTGGTGATTAGATGATACCTTGGATGCAAAGTGCTTAATCTAGTACCAGGTACATAGGAGGCACTTAAATGATGAGCGCTAGGTTTGCAGTTCCATCGGTTTTACTCTTTTCTTCATGTATGCAGTATGCTAAATGGCTGAGCATGTTTTGCTTGAGAGGAAATAAAGTATTGGTTATAGGCAAAATGAAATTTTTTCTTAAAAACACCATTTGTCCTCACCTCCTTTGTCTTTCGAACACCTGAATATTTTATCCAGGTAATTCACCGTCTTATAGACCAACATACTCTATTGGTATCAGACATTCTCAGCTCTGTGATGTCAGTTCCAAGTGTTCACAGTGCTGCAGGTAGGTTTTTTAGGGAGCTAACGATGGCCTTGGAAGTCAGTATCTTTGCAGATGTCCTTAAGCCATTCCATTCCATTTCCCATCCTTGCTCAGATGCATGAGAGTGCCACAGCCCCTTTCTTGTTTCCTTTTCCATCCAGAGGTTGTGCATGCATCTGTGGCAACTGATAGCATCAAGAGATCTAATGGTAAGGCACGTCTGCCCTGGTGTAGCTCAGTTGGGCAGCGATGCTGGAATGTTGCTTGTGCAGCGTGCTCAGGTGGTAACCACACCATCAAATGGCTGCTCTTTGAACAAGTTTAGCACCTTTGAGGTAAAGAACTGACTGGAAGCAACACCTTTTTCTGAGTACAACTAGTCATTCCAAGAAAAGACACAATGAATGTTGGTTTCACCTGGTGCAGTAAGTTTAATTCTATCTGGTGATGGACTGGGCAGCCCATTTTTCTCTTTTGTGATAAGTGGTAGTCCAGAGTGACATTGCATACCCCAAGTAGACCTGTCATAAAAGTAACTGGTTCTTCAGGATTGGGAATGGGTAGGTGGCGTTGAAGTCTCTTCTTTCTGGCCCCCTCCTGGGCTTGTGCTGCTCTGGTGCCCAGAACTCATCCAGATTGTGCAGTAACTAAACAACCAGGGCTCTACTTAACCTCAGAGGATTGGGCCAGAACTTATTTGGACAACGAAGGAAATAAATGAAAGACAGTAGATTCTTGCTTAGTTGTTTTTAATATATGCTTAGCTGTTGATATTTCTGAACATTATTTTTTAAGACTTTTTATTTCATATAGTAAGTAGGGCTTTTGAAAATAATAAGAAGAATAATACACATAATAGTGCAAATAATATTTACATAATACAAATAATAATTACATGGTAAACCATTTTCACTTCAGAGGCTTTGATTTCTGATGTTTTCTTAGCTTCAGCTATTATACATTTATATTGAAGAGAATTAGGTCTGGTTTACCCTGGGACAGACAGTCTCTGTCCAACCCATGTCCCAGCATGAAGTAGACACTTTGATTTCATGGTCCAGGGAACTCACATTTAATAAGTTGGTTTGATTTGTGAGTAAAAGCTATGGTCTTTAAAGTGAGATGCTCTGCAAACTTTTAGGAGTAAGGGTGAAAGTGAGACTAACTTTTTCATCATGCGAAAGTGTCAGGTGTATTATCACTATCTTATTTGGTCATCAAAAGACCCTGTGAAGCACTGGAGAAATGATGGTGGTTTGTACACATGTATTTACTTTCAATCCCCCTGAAATAAAGCCAAGATGCAGTAAAGAAAGTGTTTTAGAGGCACAAACCCTAAAGGACAAAAAGAATGGGAGGGGAGACACAGCAACAAAGTTTTGGAAGCTGGAAAGCAGGTGGACCAGCAATCACCGGCTTGGCCTATAACTGGCAGCGAGAAATGTCAAGATGTGACCTGGTTTAATGCAGAAGCTCCCACCCTAGATAGACAGAAGTTGATGATACCATGTACTGCTGCGAATAAGAGTAGCAGTGGGGGTTCAAGTTCTGTCTTTGACTATGAAGTGGCTTCATTTAAAAATATACACCTTATGATAGAAGGGGCCATGCCTACCTTGTACACTTTTGCATTTCTACACCTAACGCTGCCTGGTCCATGGAAGATTTTCATTCTCTGTGTTCATAAAGAATTAATTTATAAATATTCATTAAGTGCTTCAGGTGATGCTGCAGAAATTAGATTTAGGTGGTACATCCCAGGAGGACTTGACTAGGGCCAATGGGTAGATGTTCCTTGGCAATAAATTTCAGGTCAATGGAGAAAGAAAGCCCCTAATTTTTAAAAGTTTCTAATATTTGAATGAGCTTCATTCTAAAAATGTAAACTCATCATCACCCAGGGTATTGGAACTAGCACTGAATGTTCACTTGTCAGGGGAAATAATAGAATATGATGGTGAAAGGCTTGAACTCAAGTCAGCCACTCCTGGGCTGGAGCCCTGATTCTGCCACTTCATAGTTTTGTAATGTTGGGCAAGATACTTCATCTCTTAGTGTCCTCTTTGATAAAATTAAGATAATAATAGTATGTACTTGATGCAGCTGCTATAATGTCCAATTGAGAAAAACCACTCATAAAATACTTAGTATAGACTTGGAATATAGTAAGTGTTTGATCCATATCCATTATTATTACAATTGTTATTAGAACAAATTCATGCCTAGGAAGTACATTTGAACTTGATGGGATTTGAAATAGCTCCCAGCTCATCTGGGTATGGGAGACATAGGGGAAGTATTGTTATCTTGTTGGCAAATAACAATAATGTAATTGAAATATCACATGTGTGCTGATTAAAATAGGTAGTTCTATTCTTTTTTTAAAAAAAGTTGTTCCAGAACAGCCTCGAAACTTATCTTGTATACAGAAGGGAGAACGTGGAACTGTGACCTGCGCCTGGGACAGAGGACGAGACACCCACCTGTATACTGCATACACTTTACAGTGAGTAAGACTATATTTGCAGCTTTTTGGTAGGTCTTCTCTTAGATGACATTTAGAAGTATCTAACAGTTCTAGCTTTACCGAGAGAAGAAGCAGTAAACACCTCCAGATACTTAGATACTTAAAAAATTCTAGTAAAACTGGTTCATTCATCTAAAGTGTGAGAACTTATGTCTTAGGCCTGAGGACTGACTCAGAGATCTCTTCAGGGTATCCAAGGCCCACATTATGGATGTTCTTCCCTGCTGTATAGGGTTAAACTGACTGCTCTCTGGGGTTAAACTTCTCTCTTTTGCAGCTGCGGACTCTTGGGTCATGATTTATAAATAGACTCTTTTTTGTGGTAGCTTTGCATTAGCCCTGGAGGACTGTCTTTTTAAAGCACCTTTTAAAAGACACTTGCTCCTTGGAAGAAAAGCTATGACCAACCTATACAGCATATGAAAAAGTGGAGACATCACTTTGCCAACAAATGTCCACATTTGTTGTCCACATTGTCAAAGCTATGGCTTTTCCAGTTGTCATGTACAGATGTGACAGTTGGACCAGAAAGAAGGTGGAGCACTAAAGACTTGATGCTTTTGAATTGTGGTGCTGGAGAAGACTCTTGAGAGTCCCTTGGACAGCAAGATCAAACCAGTCAATCCTAAAGGAAATCAGTCCTGAATACTCATTGGAAGGACTGACGCTGAAGCTGAAACTCCAATACTTTGGCCACCTGATGTGAAGAGCCAACTCACTAGAAAATACCCTGATGCTGGGAAAGATTGAGACAGAAAGAGAAGGGGGTGACAGAGGATGATATGGTTGGATGGTATCACTAACTCATTTGACATGAATTTGAGCAGACTCTGGGAGATAGTAAAGGACAGGAAAGCCTGGCATGCTTCAGTCCATGGGGTCACAAAGAGTTGAACACGACTTAGTGACTGAACAACAGCAACAATCTGACCTGAGAGTTTACAAAAAGAGAGAGTCTGGGAAATTCTTTCCCTTGGAATTAATTCTGTAATCCCATCCAGAGATCTAGCTGGTAGGGCTGTGACTAAGTGAGGAGAAGATAGGGGAAAGGAAGTGGGGCCTAGGGTTCTGATCTGTACTTGGATCTGGCACTTCTGTGAAGTAAATGCCAAGGTGGCCATGGATCCTCTAGATGATAGACTCTGTCCTAAGGAGCAAAGAGGTCAGCCACGATTTTGGGATTCAAGGCTTCCCTGATGGCTCAGCAGGTACAGAATCTGCCTGCCAGTGCAGGAGACACAGGTTCGATCCCTGGTCCAGGAAGATCCCACATGACTCAGAGCAACTAAGCCCATGTGCCACAACTGTTGAGTCTGTACTCTAGAGTCCAGGATCCGCAACTACTGAGCCCACATGCCACAGCTATGGAAGCCGCGCACGCTAGAGCCTGTGCTCTGCAACAAGAGAAGCCACTGCAATGAGAGGTCTGCATACTGCAACAAAGAGTAGCCCTTGCTCACTGCAACTAGAGAAAGTCTGCATGCAGACATGAGGACCCAGCACAAACAAAAATAAATAAAATTATTAAAAAAAAAAAAAGAATCCACCTGCAATGCAGGAGAGAGGCAGGTTTGATACCTGGGTCAGGAAGATGCCCTGAAGGAGGAAATGGCAACCCACTCCAGTATTCATGCTGGGAAAATCTCATGGACAGAGGAGCCTGGCGGGCTGTGGTCCATGGAGTCACGAAGAATCAGAGATGACTGAAGCGACTGAGCACACATGCATGCAGTGTAGAGATCATTACTCACCCATATGAATGTCAAAAAGCATTTCATTCCTATCAAAAAAAAAAAAAAAAAAAGAGGGGTGAACTGTGGTCCTATGACCACAGAATACAAATATCCCCGTGGTATATCCCCTAATAAAACATATCAAGAATTTTCGATACTTGAACATTTTGCTCCTTTGTGCTAAAAGGAGGCAACAGCACATAAAGTGTCTCACTAAACACAAGGATCTTTCATTTACAGGTTAAATGGACCAAAAAATTTCACTTGGCAAAAGCAATGTAATGATCACTATTGTGATCATTTGGACCTTGAAATCAACCTAACCCCTGAATCACTTGAATCTAGTTACACAGTCAAGGTTACTGCTATCAATAGTCTTGGGAGTGCTTCTTCATTTCCATCCTCATTCACACTGTTGGACATAGGTATGTATTATTTCACTTTTTTAGGTGCTGATCTTAGCCTGTGAACATTATTTTTAGAATCACTTGTGTGATGGTTTCAAAAGGGAGAGTGGTTCATGGAGAGTGGCCAGTAGGCGTAGACAAAGGATAGATGTGTCTTTGGTGTAAAAAAAGGATGTAGGTCTCTAGCGCTATAGAGACATGGTTGTACAAAATGGAATATGCAACATTATTCTCTGTGTTGGAAAAATAAGAGCCCGCTGGTTTCAGATCCTTTGAAGGCATAGGCTGCCAGTGATACTTTCTGAGTGAGGAGAGGGTCATGTGAGGTTGTTCAAGAAGCTTAGTGTAAGCCTTTCACGGTGGAGGTGTCTTTTCAGGGTCACGGCTACTCCATTGTTCTAAGATAAGGCTGCGTGTGGGCCTGCAGGGCTGAAGCAGCCAGGTGCAAACTATAAGTAAAGTGTATCCGTGTACCAATGCATCTTCCTCAGAGAATACTTATGTTTACCCCTCTTATCAGCTTGGGAGCTGGAGTTAGCCAGTCCCAGCACATTTCTGAGCAAATATAATTGGCCCAGTTGAATCAGAGGCAAATTCCAGGCATTCCCAGGTAACACTGAGCTTATGGCCTGCCTGAAGTTCTGGCCTCACACCACATGTCTCTCTTCTCTCTTCCCAAAGCATCTCATTGCATACACACGGTACAGTATAGTAAATGATGTACGTCAGCGTCTACTATACATTTTGCTATCACAATTTTGCCCATTTTGCCTTCCTTCTCTTTACATTGACCATTCATCTCTAGCCACCTTCTTTCCCTCTTCTTCTCTTATTCCTCTGTTGCTGTGTCTCTTTCCTATGACTTTTCCTACCAACATTTTTTCTCCTTCTGATATGATCACCACTAGCCACACCTCTACCTTCTCAGCCATTGAAACTCTTGGGTTTGGCACATTGGTTTTCTTTAAATCATTGAGTTAAATGAAATCCAAATTATCAGTGATGTTTATGGTAGTTTATCTGTATAAAAATGGGTAGATTTTTAGGGAAGATTAAAGGGAATTACTTTAATGATTTAGAAGTCAATCCAATTTTTTCTTCCTTCTAAAAGCAAGGGACTACTCTTATCTGTTTCACCAAGTTGGTGGCTGTGCATTTTAGAAATGAGACTTGTTCAACTCTTTATAGCTCATGTAATTATAATTTCCAGCCATGGAGCCTGACTCACACTCTTTTGTTTGTCCTGGTTGCCAGTGAGGCCTCTTCCTCCGTGGGACATCAGAATCAAATTCGTAAATGCTTCCGTGAACAGGTGTACCCTTCTGTGGAGAGATGAGGGGCTGGTGCTGCTCAATCGACTCAGATATCGGCCCATTAACAGCAGATCCTGGAATATGGTAATAGTCTCTAGAGTGAAGGGGAAACCAGGGAGAAATTCTTAGTAGCACCGCCCAGATGTCTTTTTTCATACCAGCAAAATACAGAGTTTAAGAATGTTTAGCCCAAAAGTACACATATACATGTGAGACATATCAGTCAATCATGTACACTTCTGTTTATTGAGAAGTATCTTAGGGAATTCCCTGGCAGTCCAGTGGTTAGGACACTGCCAAGGGTCCAGGTTTGATTCCTGGTAGGAAAACTAAAATCCCATAAACCATGCGTCAAAAAAAAATGAAAACAAATATCCTAAAATTTGATCATTGATGCTGAAATTTTTTAAGCCATAAGCTTCTGTAAATCCACACTAATTTTCTATGATTTATTTGTAGTAAATATTCACTTTTCCTTGTTGTTCTACTCCATACCCCATTATTACTTCCATTATTACTTTTTAGTAATTTCTTTTAAATTATTTATATATTTAGTTGGCTGCACTGGGTTTTAGTTTCCACATGTGGGATCTAGTTCCCTGACCAGGGATGGAACTCAGGCCCCCTGCACTGGGAGCACAGAGTCTTAGCCATTACACCACCAGGGAGTCTCACATTCTAGTAATTTTTTAACCTATTGGAAAAAGAAATATTAGGGAATGTTGAGAGGCTTATCTAAATTGAATATTCCAAGATAAAACTTTACACTTTGATGTAATATTGAACATTAAATTTTTACAACAAAAATGTAGGATTATTATTCTTTCCAGTATTTTGGTAAAATGTAGTGCCTATAATAATAACAAAGGATCGGTTCCACATAGGAGAATTCCATGGACTATTCCCTGGGGTCACAGAGTCGGACATGACTGAGCGAATTTTACCCTATTCAAATATTAGTCTCTCAGTTATGTTTGACTCTTTGTGACCCTGTAGAGTGTAGCCCACCAGGCTCCTTGGTCCATGGAATTCTCCAGGCACTAATACTGGAGTGGGTTGCCATTCCCTTCTCCAGGGAATCTTCCTGATTCTTTACCATCTGAGCCACCAGGGAAGCCCTAGTTCCACGTATAGAAAGGTAAAATAATTAAATTTTTATATATTGTTGTTGTTGTTCAGTCACTAAGTTGTGTCCGACTCTTTGCGACCCCAAGGACTGCAGCATGCCATTTAATAATTTTCTTATATAATTAAATTTTTCTGTTTGGAGTCAGTTTTATGTCTGTGTTAAAACATTTATTACATTCTAATTGTGGCCAAATAAAAAATAATATCTAGTTAGAAACAAACTTTTTCAAGGCCTTTTTGAAAACAAGTAGTTTTCAGTCTTTACTTGTTTCAAAGCTGGTTTCTGGATCCCCCTTGGAATCTATATAGATGAGTTGTTAGATCCATGAATTTTTTTGTCTTTGTGTTTCTAATGAGACTCTATTGTTTCAGGTTAACATCATATGTATTCAGTAACCCAGTCATTATATTTCTTCTCATTGAATGACAAACTTGAAAAGTAAAAAGGGTTATCTAGTTTGGTTTTCTTACCTTTATTTTAATTAATTTAGTATTAACAGGCACTTAAAAAAAATCTTGTTGGTTTCAAGGTTAATGCCACGAATGCCAAAGGAAGACATGACTTGCTGGATCTGAAACCCTTTACAGAATATGAATTTCAGATTTCCTCTAAGCTACATCTTTATAAAGGTAGCTGGAGTGATTGGAGTGAATCGTTGCGAACACAAACACCAGAAGAAGGTAGTGTCCAAAAAAAAAGGTGGGGTGGGGGGGGAGCGGGGAAGGAGGGGTGGATAAAATGTGTGAAAGACAAGAGAGAGAGAGAGAGAGAGAGAGGAAGATGTAATAATTTCCTTAGAATAGACTCTAAAGTACTGATACTAAATCAAAACAGTGCATTAATTAACAAGCTCATTTTAACATCAGCTTAAGTATTGAAGCTGTCCAGAGAGATATGTTTATATTTCTTGGAAATTTTTGACATTAGTTAAGTCCTACTCCTGTTTGTCACATATTATCACATTGGTTACAAGCTTTATGCCTCTGTTTGATTTTATCTCTTACTTCTATTTCACTTACTACTTCAGTTACTCTCTCTTATTCCACAAAGCTATGACTAGTAATTAATTTCATTCCTTTATCAATAAACCTTGATGCATCGTGCCTTTTGGGTTCTATGAAAATTAATATGGCTTTACAAGCCATACTAAAAGCTTGAGAAAAGACATAACATTGTAAAATAAAGTTTAACATCCAACAATCCTCTTTTCCAAATATTACAGCCCTGCACTTCTTCAAACTTTGATACTCACTTCTCACATGAGTACCATAGACTGCCCATAGCTATGAACAGGAGGTCAAATATATTTTTCAGTCTGATGAGCTTTTTTTTTTTTTATAATTATTGGGATGACTTTCATTGAAGTTCATGCTGCGGTTCATGGGGTCGGAAAGAGTCGGACACGACTGAACAACTGAACTGAATCAAATATTTTATTAAAGAAAAAATGTTTATATGAATTTTATGCCTCTTCTAAATCTTTGGAGACATAAGAAATAGCCGTTTGAGTATTAGTTTTAGAAAGCACTCAGTGATACAATATACAACTTCATAATTTGTCTAAATTTGTCTCGGAGGAAAAATAATCGGCATATAATCCATTGCTTTATAATCTGGAGATTTTCAGCCATTAATGGCAGAAAAGCTAAGTGCTTATTTGTGAAACTTACAGATATTTGTGCATGTAAACTAGCCTCATGACTAAGCTACATTCATTTTCTGTGAGCTACTAGTGATTTTTGGTAACTGATGACATCGAATGACTTTCATGGATATAAACTATTAATCAAATAAATAATATATAAATCAGAATAATTGTTTACACTTCCTTCATTCTTAACAGTAATTTCATTTCTCTAAAAATGTTTATAAATGAATTCATTCAACAAATTATAATTTTTCCTCTCATTTTATGATAATAATGTTTTAACGTTGAGCCACTGTTCTCTCTTTGAATGTGTGTCAGTTTTAAAATCCAGAGCTTACTTCTGTTATCCTTTCGTCACACATGTCAAAGTGATGCATTTTTAAAATGCTTTAAGGGTTAGAATATATACATTGTACAGATAAAATTCTTGGATGTAAGCCATAAATTTTGTGCAAGTCCAAGGTAGTATATAGTCTGAGAAGTTAAGTTGTATCACATTAAGCTAAAATATAAAATAGGGAAACTCTGGGCTCATAAATTCTTGTCATTTTTACTCACACTTGATAATGACCTGCTTAGAGATGTGTGAAAAGTTTTTTCTTTTTTTTTCAAGTGTTTATCTGTTGAATTAAAAACCCATCAAGGCAGAATGGTAACTTTCTCATATCCTATATAATAAACCACCACCATAACAATGAATGTAGCAACTTGTTGTGTTTATGAACTCGTGGATGGTTATGAATTGAACCAAGGAAGCTGGCTTATTCAGAGTAGTTGCAAACATTCACAAAGAGAGAAACCCATACTCTGAAATACGCACATTGACCAAGCTCTGCTGACTTCCTCTCTGTCTGAATCTCCCTTTTTTGTGTTTGATCTTTCTGTGGGTTGTTGTAAGATCTCTTTTCTCTTACTCTAAGCTTCATGGTTTTCACCTCTTACCACTCTTTCTGTCATCAGTTTCTGTATGAAACACCAACTGATGTAAACCTAAAAGGTGTGAAATTTTTTTAACACTTCTTCCTTTTAACCCTTGGGATATGTATGCAAATGTAACTTGGCATTTAAAAAAAAATACTAGTAAGCTTTTTTTTTTTTTTAGTTACTGTCTAAAACTGAGCAATGTTATTATGATAGAGCTCTTTCTTTGTAGCCTTGGCTACTCAAAACAGCACAATATGTTATCTCTTAGTGGTTTGGGTGTAGTTATTTATAGCATGTCAGCAGAGAATGAAGGCATTATTCACTCCATATGGCCGTTCTCCATGTCATTAAATTAAACTCTTGTCACAGTCCTCCATGAAGAACATTTAAAAAATGACCACTAAGTAAGGGGTGGAAGGAAACAGATCACATTCCTATGCTTAGGAAGACAGTCCAGCAATCAGTATACATCAAATGTGGGCCTGATACTGGGAAATGAGCAGTCATATTTTGCTTCTGAGCAGTCATATTTTGCTTCTAGTGGGAAAACGGTCTTGAGTTTGGGTTGCATAGTGTCTTCACATGCCTGAGAAAATGCCCAGGTGTTGGGGTACCCTGCTTCCTCATCATTTTGAACACCCAGGAGGAAACTCCTAAATAAAGGTGATGAACCTTTCCTTAGAGCTACATTAAGTGTTTCTAGCTATTCATTCTTCATCATTTTTCAAAGTGTTATTTGTATCTTTGGTCTTGGTAAACTTGACTGTGGGCAGTTAATAAAGGAAGTGTTAAACGCTCCCACTAGTGCCAGAGCAATAAAGGAGCAGTCCTCCCCCATCATGGTGATGGCATAGGTAATTGGTGAAAGATCCCCAAAGAGGGAAAACACATAGCTGCAGCCACCCATCTTCCCATTGAGAAGCTAGACAATTGTTCATTCACTTGTGATTTTAAACAATTGCTAGGATAAGTTAGGGGTGAACAATTAAATACTAGAGGTTATTTTACCACCTGTTAGCAAGCAAGATGATAAGTCTAGCTTAGGAGTCAGCAAATATTTTCTATAGAGTTCCAAGGCTGAAATAATAAATATTTTCAGCTTTGCAGACCTATGATCTTTGTCATAACTATTAAAATTTGCTGTTATCACATGCAAGCAGCCATTGACAGTCTAGAAATACATAGACAAAGCTGTATCCAAAATTTTATTTTTGCACACTGAAATTTGAATTTTGTAAAGTTTTTATGTCACTAAAAAGGATCCTTCTTTTGATTGGTTGTCAACCATCTAAAAATGTGAAAGCTATTATTATTAGTTCACTGGCTATACAGAAACAGGGACTAGGGAACCAGTCAGATTTGGTCCATGGGCCATAGTTTGCTGATTCCTAAATTAGCTAAACTTGAAAATATCATGCTTGTGTCTTTTTGCCTAAGACTTGAGGAAATGAGAATGAATGGTTCTTTGCCTTCTCAAGGGACTTAGCTAAAAACACTTTCATTAGAGGGAAAATGTTATGTTTAAGATCCAATGAGTGTCCTTACCCTCTTTTATTCTTCTTGTGGCCTCTTCTAAGCTCAACACCTACCCTGGAAGAAGTAAATGCCTAAGCTTAATTATTTGACAAGATGGTAATCATTCCAATGGGAAGAAATGCTTTCCATGAAACCCTCCAAAAGAAGCCAGTGGGGAGTAAAAAACACTTCTCTGGATGATCTGTGAGGAATGTGTATATGTCAGGCACTATGCCAGGTACTCAGACACAATGATAACCAGTTAGATCCTCAGATTCAGGGACTTACAGTCTATCTTGGAACATCAGGGAAAATTCCTGGAAGAGATGGCACCAAGAACAAGCTGCAAAGCCCAAAGGGAATCTTGTGGCCTTCTACCATCTGGAGTATGCGGTCTCCAAGGTACTGCAGTAGAAGGAAAGAGCTATTACCTCCTGGAAGTACTTGCTTCTGTTGAGTTCTGTGAAATCTCTTGTTCCTGATTTTTCTTCTACCCTCTTGGCCAGTTCTTCCCAGTCTTTTTTGCTGGCCATCTTTCTCTTCTTAATCTCAATATATAGGGCTTTGTATTGGGTCTCTTTCTTTTCCCAGCTGACCTCATTCAATCTCATGGCTCTAAAACTACATAGGCAGGTAAAGAGAAAGAAAGAATATAGTTTCTGTTCTGGAGTCTCTCCAGAACTTCAGATTTGTATTCCAGTCACCTATTCTACATCTTCACTTAGATATCAACAGATACACTAAACCTCAACATTGCCTAAAAAGATTGTTTTTTCTCCAATGCAAAATGCTTTCAGAATGCCTCTGTTTCAGTCTTTCCTTTCATGGTAAATGACTCCACCATATTCCTAGTTATTCAAATCAAAAAGTGGAGAAATTATCCTTAAAGTCTCCTTTTCTCCCATTCCATCATATCAGCATTGAGTCTCCTAAACATATTCAAAATGTATTCATTGCTTCCATTGCTACTCTGACTATCCTAGTTTAAGCTACTTTCTCATTACAAAGCATAACAGCAAAATGAACACTTACAAACTCATCATTTAAGTTAAATGTTGTAAAATTACTGATGTATTCTTACCCTGTCAGACTTCCCCACAGGTAACCACTGTCCTGGATTGTGTATTTATGTCATCATCACACTTTTCTCATAGTTTTCAGAAATGTATATATTTCTAAACAGTGATTAGTGTTGCTTGTTTTGAGCTTGATCAAAATTATATGCAGTATATAATCTTTTGCAACTCATTTTTTTTCCCATGAACACTCTAACATGATGCCTCCATCGATTTTAGGATAGAGGAAACATCCCTGCTTCTGTTAAGAAATAGGCTCTTCACTTGTGATCTGGATGTTGAAAGATTATCTTTCTTAAAAAGAAAAAAATAGATGGTGGATTTTCAGCTATGTCAGGTGTTCCCAATAAATCCAGTGAAATAAGAATAGAGAAGTAATCGTCAGATTTGACAAAACAGCATTGATTTCTGAACAGGAGCAGTTGTGGGGACATTGAATGAGAGCGAATATGAGGTGAGGGAATAAAGACAGTGACAATTCACTGGAGTAGGATGTAGCGTTAAGAAATTCCTTAATTTGTTTTAGGATCAGAGATAATACAGTATATTTATAAGGTGATTTTTGGGACCTAGCAGAGAGGAAGAGATTAATGATACAGGAAATAGGATAATAGTGGGAGAGATACATGTGATGAAGCAAGAGGATGGGACCTAGAACTCAAGGGGTTGGTCTGTGATGGAAGTAGGGAAAGCTTCATCCACAGTAAAATCAATAGAAGTGATGTGTTAGGGAATTGATGGGGAAGTTTGAAAGATTTCATGGTGGAAATGTTAGGGACTTTCTGTCTGATTGCTTCCTTTTGCTCAGTGAAGTGTGAGGCAAAGACATGAGTTGAGAGAATCAGATCATTGGAAGTCAGCAGGTAGAGGGACTTATAGCACCAGCCTTTGGGAAGGAGCAACCCCTGTGGATGATGAGCCACCAAAAATAGTGACAGAAAGGAGTGAAAAGAGAGTAAACGAAGTGTTGAAAGTTATCAAAGAGGAGGAGGGGTGGCGGAGTCTGTGAGGGCTTCCCATGGAGACTTGCAGGTGGTAACATATGAAGGCAAGAGTCTGCCATGAAGAAACTTGTTTAATCATGTAGGTGTTTTGAATCTGTGAATCTGTTTGAGTTGTTTGAAACTAGAATTTAGAGAAGTGTATCAAAGTCCAAAGAGTGGACAATGAGGAACCAAGGTGGTGGACGATTTACTTGGCTCTGTCTTTCCCTGCCTGGAGCATGGCTTGGACCAAAATATTCTCATGGGTTCAATTTAGTCCACTACCTGAAATCTCCCAAGGTACTCCTTTTTCATATTCACTTTGTGTTAAATTCTTCATTTTCACTGTTCTTAGAGATCTTTCTACTCTACTCCACTGCCTGCTAAAACCTCTGTGGAGGGATTGCTGTCTACTTGCAATTCAGTTGCTCTCATCCACACCCTTGCACTCACCTTGGGTTCCGAGATGGATGCTAATCTCAGAAGCAGCACATGGCTTAGCCCTGATTTACTTACCACACGTCCTGTTTCATAGAATCCTCAAATCTTGGGATTCTCTTGTAACTCAGTCCGTAAAGAATCTGCCTGCAATGCAGGAGACCTGGGTTTGATTCTTGGGTGGGAAAGATCCCCTGGAGAAGGATATGGCAGCCCATTCCAGTATTCTTGCCTGAAGAATCCCATGGAGAGAGGAGCCTGGTGGGTTACAGTCCATGCGGTCGCAAGAGTCAGACACAACTTAACGACTAAACCGCCACCACCAGAGTTGAAAGAATCCTTTGAGGGCAGTTAGGCTGATCTTCTGCTTAATTTTGGATGTCCTCTTTTTTTATATTGGTGATTCCTTCCTCTTTAACCCAGTTTTTTTTCTTCGCATTGATAGTACATTCATCTCAGAAGAAATGATTCCATTGCTCAATATTCATATTTTTTTTTATCATTTGTACTATCCTTTTTGTGTGTGTCACTTGGGACAAATGGCCTTTGTCTTTCCTTTTCTTACCTGCCTATGATACTTTTATCTGACTTTTTTTTATGACACTGAGGTTAGGACCCCCAAGTGACTTTGCCAGTTGAATGTCAAAGATTCTCTATAATATTAGCCCTTATATTGCTTTACGCAGCAGTAGTTTGACATTTCTAGTCATGAAGTTTTACACTTTGAAACCCATACAGATTTGGCTAATGACTTCTCTCCCATAGAGGCTTACACTGCAGGTGGGCACCATTAAAATTTCAGCTTCACTTGCAATTTATCTTTTGAAGAAAATATGACTCTTGAATTTGATTCTTAGCTCTGTAATAATCTGGTAGGTTGTAGAGGCAATGAATGGCAATGAGAGGTGAGTGTTCCCTTTAAGTTTCTTACCTATATGTAATTAACTGAAGACATGTAACACCATGGACCATGTCCACTGGCCTTGACCCTGAGCACACCATAGTTTCCAAATCCTGCCTGGGTAGTCAGTGTCTGGGTCATCTAGTTTGTGGAGTGTTCAGATCTTTGCTCAACACGGTGAACAGTAACAGGGTCTTTGGAGACAGCAAAACTTGGGCCCAACTCTCAGCTTTGCCATTACCATCTCTGCAGTTTCTGTAAATCATTTGACCTTTGTCAGCTTCCTTGTCCTCAGCTGCAAAACAGATCTAATCATATGCTCCTTCTGCACTGTGTGAGGATTAAGTGAGAGCATGGATATAGTGTCCAGAGATTACTTGGCACGTGGTAGGTGGTCAATAAACACCAGGCCCCCTTCCTTTCTGTTGCCTGTGCTTTTTTCCTTTTTACATAAGGACTAGCAGGAAAAAAAGTTCCGAGCTTGATTCCTGGGTCCCTGTAATCCTGAAGGATAGAGAGCACTTTCAGAATGCCTTCTGTACACATTTCTTACCATTAAGTCCTCGCTGCAAGGGTGAATACTACCACTGGTCAGAAGAGAAGGGGAAGAAGTGAATGTTTAGAAATTAAAAGAGATGAAGGTGAGAGAGGCAGGAAAAGGAAGTAACAAAGGAAAAGACTAGAACATGAAAGAGGCGCACCCAATGGAGGGCGTAAGTTTTACAGAGACGTTGTAAGCCTTCGCAGAGCCAGGCAACTGCATGATGCAGAGCAAAGATCATAGACCAAACAGAGCTGTGTTCAGAGCCTAGCTTCTCCACCAATTAGTTCTGGAACTTTGATCAGGTTCCTTAACTTCTTTGAACTTCAGTTTTCAAGTGAAGAAAACAACAGCAGCTAAGTTTACTGAGCGCTTAACATGTGTAAGCACTGTTATGTTCCATTTAAATTCTCAACACAGCCCCATCTGATGTGTAGAATTATGATCCTCATTTGACAGACGAGGAACCTGGCTTAAGGACATGGTTAGCATTGTTCGGGATCACAGAGCCTGGATATGCCCATAGAGGGCCTGGCTCTGGAGCTCACACTTTAAGCACTGCACCAAAGCTAGTGTATCACGGGGCTGAGGAGGACATGAGATGTCACTGAATGGGCCCACATGGGGCCTGCCCTTGGTGTGTGCTGGGACATGTGCCCCCTCCCTGTCCTTCTTTCTCTTCTCCTCTTTCTGGCTGCTTGTCTTCTGCCATCCCGGTGGGACTTAGCTTTCTGGGAATTCCCAGCTGGTTAAATGGAACTTGCTGCTCCATAAGGAACCCCAAGATAGCTTCACCCTAATATACTCTAAGAGTCACTGTTACACAAGTTAGGTTGGCGCAATTGAAGCCTGTTTTCAGGAATTGCTTCTATTGATTCCACTCCTGGCTGTAAATCAAAACAAATCTGATAGTGGGAGAAAAAAAACTATTTCATCCACTCATAATACACATACATACACACACTTAGACATAGGAGTTGATTATTCACTTTCTTTAAAAAAAAATATGTTCAGTTGACTTTCTCAAATTAAATTAGTTCATATTTGACCATTGTTTTATGGATTGGTGGTTATTTCTTCTACTAGTTCAGCCTGTGTTTCAGCATCGAGTAGATGGTATTCCCTGGTTTGTTCATTTGCTTATTCATCATTTAACAAAGAGTAACTGGGAGCCTGTTACATTCTAAGCACTGCAGTGGATGTGAGGAATACTAAGATGAATGAGACAGACTTCCTTACAAATAGATTATTGTCTAATGGTCATAAAACCAAATAATTATACTCCAACATAAATTCAGGAATGGAGATGAACACAAAGTTCAGCCTTTGTGTTTTGTATTTTACAGGATTGAAAAATGTTTTCCTCATGATTTATGTCTGTTTTCCTGTTGAGAATTCTTTATGCATTCCAACAAAAAAGAATTAACCGTGTATACTTTCTTTGAGTTGTTTTACTAATACATGTTTAAGGGTAAGTTAAGAATGTAATGTCCCCTTGTCCTTTTTAAAAGTTTGTTTTTAAGGTGGTTGTTTAGTCACACAGTCATGTCTGACTCTTTGTGACCCCATGGACTACAGCACTTTGTTTTTTCTGACTTCTGTGGTCAAGCATGTTCATTATTTAACAGAAGAAAAAGGAAAATACTGGGACATGAAGAAAATCGAAATTATCCTATAATTCTACTCTCCAAGAATCATTTAATCAATAACCAATTGACTTTTAAAGTTTTTACACTGTGTATTTGTATATATGTGTATATGTATGAAGCTGATTTTTTCCCCTTCAAAACAGAGCCTACCGGGATTCTCGATGTCTGGTATGTGAGACAGCACATTGACTACCATAGACAACAGATTTCTCTTTTCTGGAAGGTAAGCTTGCAGTGTCCACTAAAAATTCAGAACTGTATATTTAGTTTTTTTAATTGAGATATAATTGACATATGAAGAGAATTACATATTTGAATGGTAAGTTTCAAGGCCGAAGAGCTTGTTCCATGGTTGCTTTGATATGAGGCTTCAGAGACTGTGTTGGAACTCATTTTCTCAGCCAGATCTTCATGATGGTTGACTCTGTCATTTACTTTTCCAACACAAGGGTGAGGACTCTTGACTTCCTGCCTCCACACAGTCATATCTTTCCCTCTTCCACTTCCAGTCAGATCAAGGTCTCTTCCCTTCCCGAAGTGTGCCCACCCTCTGACCCCATTCACCACACCTTCTCTTCTGATTCTGTTCCCTCTCTGCCTCTCCTCCCACCCCACAGATACAGTATGCCCAGCAGTGACCACCTCACTTTTTCATTTTAGGGGAGAGCAAAGCTGTGGATATAGATATTTAGGAATATGTTTTCTATGGTCATTGAAAAGTGAGCGGGTGGAAAGTAAGCTCCTCTACCTCAGGAATACTAATAATAGTAGAAAATAAGAGGAATAGGAATAGAAAACAGCCTTTCCTCAAGAATAGTCGTAAAACAGTGGTAAACAGAACAACCTTCCAGGAAACAATGAGGCCTAATGTTATGACAGAATGTAAAAGTTTCACAAAGTGCTGAAAGCTGGCATTATCATTTCACTTAACCCTTACAAAAACCCTAAGAGATACATATAGTATCCCCATTAACGCATGAAAAAAAACTAAGAGTCCAAAAAAGGAGGTTTTTCCCAAAGTCAACCACCTACTAAGTGCAGAGCTGGGACTGAAACCCCATCCAGAGCTCTTTCTGCTACAGTATGACTCATTTTGCCCCCTAAAATATATATATTGTTTGAATTGAGCTACTGATTGGCATGTTTATAGGAAGAGGTTTTATTTCTCAAAACCTATGTCCTTTTTACGACATGTCTTCCAGTTAAGGGTAAATAAACAGTTTTGGAATTATGCAGCTGACAAGCATGAAACCAGAAGTCAGAGTAATAAAGTCCTCTGATGGGGTTAGCATGATAGATTTTGATAATTACAGTCTTCTTCAATTTTAAGAAATGAGCTCTTTCTCCCTCTTTCCCTTTCTCTCTCTCACACATAAAATCTCTGGTATAAAAGGAGACTACTGTAAATAGCTTGGTGAGTCATAATCAAGTTCTTCACTTTGAAACTAAAACTGCAGCTTAAAATTTATCTGAAAAAATGAATTTTTAATAGCAAGATTATTCTTAAAGCAAGGCATTTAGAGCAACCATAATTTGTAAATAGTATAAAAGAACCTAGCTCAATTCCTGGCTGTTGGTTTTCATTTTCACAGGTAAGCAACTGGTTAAAATGCAAATTCTTCATCCCGTAAAGATCCCGCCTCCAAAAATGTTCTTTACAGTTATCTGAAAATACGCTGTTCTGGTCCCATTTCATTCCTCTCAACTCTGGGGTTTCTCTTGGTAGAATGAGGGTAATGATCAAAGTACCTGCAGAATTCAAGGTGGGGGGTGGAAGCACAAGTAAATGAGAAGGTGCAAACCCAGAAAAATCACTGGGGCTGCCAAGGAAAAATTAGATGGTACTGCAACATGATTTTTATCATAAGAGTGTAAGCAACATACCCAGTGCTAGACCTGTGTTTCTTTCTGTCACAAAGAGCATTTAGAACAGGCGCAAGCAAGGCACCCTGAAACCAGCCTCGGAGCAAAGTCAAAATAACGATTTGTTAGCCAACAGGTCGATGGGCATGGGTTTGGGTAGACTCTGGGAGTTGGTGATGGGCAGGGAGGTCTGGCGTGCTGCGATTTATGGGGTTGCAAAGAGTCGGACACAACTGAGCAACTGAGCTGAACTGAATTTTTAGCAAACTTCCATATGCGGATTCCTCTCTGCTGCTCATCTTAATCTTGTCCCTGTTTCTGACAAAGCTTTAGGTTCTAAAATGAAGTCTTGAAATTCAAAAGGGCTTTAAAACTCTTCTGGTCCATCCTGTCTCTCATGAACATTGCTCCTAGTTCAGCCAGGACAGATAGATGTCTCTGCTGGGACCTTCTGGGACAGGAGGAACTGCTCTGGAGACAGCCCACCTTGATGGCATCTCTTGTCTATAAGTTAGAAAAGGTTTTCTTTGGTGGAGCCAAAATTGTGGGCCCAAGAAGGATCTTTTGGACCAGAACAGATTTGAATAAGAAACCAAAAATGTAAAAACTAGAAGTTTCTACAACCTTGTGCTAGATGGTGATCATGACAGGGCACCTTCAAAACCTTCAGCGATTGTCCAGCCTGAAAAAGGAGAGTTGGAGCCAGCCTTCTGTTTTCCAGGGTTGCTACAGGACTTAGTCCCTAGTCCTTCCCAGGTGGCGCTACTGGTAAAGAACCCTCCTGCCAATGCAGGAGACATAAGAGATTTGGGTTCTGATCCCTGGGTTGGGAAGATTCCCTTGGAGAAGGAAATGGCAACCCATTCCAGTTTTCTTGCCTGGAGAGTTCCATGGACAGAGGAGCCCAATAGGCTACAGCCCATAGGGTCACACAGAGTCAGACACAACTGAAGTGGCTTAGCACATGCACACACAGGACTTAGTCCTTTTCTGTTGAATCCTGGATTTCTTCAACAGCCCTACACAGGAAGTGGCAATTAAACCCTGACCAGAGTTACTGAGATGAGTGGTTCTGCTCTGGGCCCCAGAATCACAAATCCCAGAGCTCTAGAGCCAGAGGGCATTTAAGCAGCCTGCAGTTCCAGCAATCATTTCACAAACATGGAAACTGCAGTCTGGGGAGGGAAAGCGATTTCCCACAAGGATTTCTGTAATGTGGTGCCTGCTGCTGGGAGCCCTTCCTGGGTGGAATACTGCCCTTCTGTTTGGAACCACCCCTCTCTCATTCCTCCGACTGGGGATTCCTCTTGCCACCCTCAGGCAGGACTGGGAGCTGACGGGGCAGTGCTGTGACATGAGGAACTCATCAAAACCTCAGAGCAGCCTGCAGCCAGATCAGGTGCTTTGTGGTGGGGCCCAGTCAGACCTCACTGGGGAAGGGAAGTGAAGACATGCGTGTGATGGGTGATTTTTCTTTTCTAACTTTGATCAATACTGGGAAACCCAGTGAAAGGGACACCCCGCCACTGCAGAGGGGAATTCAGGGCTTCAGCACCAAAGGAAGCCCCAAGTAAAACCCCATCAGCCTGTGAACACAGAGAGAGCACGTTTCTCTTGCGGCTGGGGAAACGAGAGCTGACCTTTCATTTCTCTAGTATGTTTACACTAGAGGAGAACAACTTGATGCTGAATGGGTACAGCCCGGGCGTATGCAGAGGCTGGGGGCGGGGGGTGGTGGCTGGAGGGAGGGGAGACGGGTCCGTGGTGAGGATGTGTGAGTGTCTGGAGTGGTGTGTGTGTGTGTGTGTTGTGTGTGTATGAGTGCACATGTGTATGAATGCATGTGAATTTTGTATTCGTGGGAGGGATCTGATTGTGTGGGTGTGTAAATACGAGTACGTGTGTGAGTGTGCAGGCATGTATGCTGTGCTTGTATGTGAGTGTCTTAGTCACATCTAATAAAATGCCATAGTTTGGGGGCTTGTAAATAGCAGAGATCAATTTCTCACACTTCTGGACGCTGGAAGTCTGAGATCTGGCTGCCAGCATGGTTAGGTAAGGGCTAAACCACTCTTCTGGGTCTCAGACTTCTCTTGTGTCCTCACATGGTGACATGATGGAAGGGGCTAGACAGCTGTCCAGGGTCTTAGAGAGTGCTGATCCCATCCATGGGTGCTTCACCCTTATGACCTAATCAACTCACAGAGGCCCCACCTCTTGACACCATCAGATTAGGTGTGAAATTCCAATGTGTGAATCACCGTTGCAGTGAGTGAGTGTAAAGCCATGAGTGTGTGGAAGATGGGTGTGTGGGGTGTATGTGGGTGTGAGTGTGGGTGAATATGTGTGGGTCTGTGAGTGTGAGGGGTGGGTGTGAATGAGAGCATCTACATGTGTGTCTATTTATGAATGTGAGTGTTAGTGTGTTGAGGGTAGAGGAGACCACTGTTGTTCTGGTTCCTATGTAGTTCCTCATTTTCCCACACCCTGGTTTCTCCTAAAAGCTACAGTTCCTCAAAAGTATTCTGTACTATTTTTTTGCCATAGTTTTTTTTTTTTTTTTTAATTTTTGGTCACACCACACGGCTTGTGAGATCTTAACTCCTCGACCAGGGATTGAACCTGTAGTAAAAGCACGGAGTCCTAACCACTGGACCACCAAGGAAGTCCCCATAGTTGCTTTTAAGAGAAAAAGTACTTTCTATGTTGAAGCCAAAAAGTTGAGTCTAATCTATGAATAAAGCAAAAACACCTGGGTATTGTCAAAACAGTAAATGCGGTGGTAGAAAATGTTGCTCTGTCACCAACAGCCCCGGTGTTGGATGAGAGCCCTTCTCAAGGGGTCACCAATTCTTTCCCTCACATTCTCTCTAAATCCCCTTCTGCACAAACTTTCACATCATTTCCTTTGCTTTGACCAGTTATTTCCATCTGTGATTCTAGTACACTTTTCCTTCAGTTAATTCAGCTTCCATCCTTTAGGAAGAAGATCACTTTGAATATATATATGGATGATATATGAAAAGATATGACAGTGGGTTAAAGCCACATTACCCTTTCCAGTTTCCTCTGTCAATTTCTTCAGAGTCCTCTCACTGTCTGAAGCATGGCTAATCATAAACTTTCTGAAGTTTAGGTTTAGGCCATGGGTCTGGAAGAGAAATGTCTGTGTGCAGATGGAGCTGAATTCCCTTCTTCATTTGCTCACTCCCTCATTAGTTCATCCAAGCAAACAAGTACATTAAAGCCCTTCTTTAGGCCTAGAGCCCATGTTGTATGCAAGGACATGGAAGTAAGCAAGCCAGGTGCAGGCTCCATGTCCTTGAGCTCTCAGTCCGGCAGAGGAGGACTGAAATGCAG